AGCCCTGGCGGGGCAGGAGGGCGGCAGCCTGGAAATTAATCCATTTGCCAGGTTGTCAAAACATTAATCAACGGATACAAAAATCTGGAAATGGTTGGGACAACATGTATTTGCGGAAAATATGTGTTCGCACAACAAGCACACAAGATGGGAACAATTATACGAAGATGTTTTAATAATTAACCAGTATAAAACAGTTTGCTCTCCATACAGTTCTAGACAATAAAAGTGTTTGCAGTCATATTTTTCTTTTGTACAAAATTCCAGTCGATTGTTCCACAATATTTACATTGTCATTCCCTTTTCACAAAATATCTCCTTTCTCCCTCCCTCCCCTTTTTTAAAAAAATTTTTTTTTTTTTTAAATCCAGCTTTGCTACATAAATGCTTTAGATCTCATGGATATCCCTTGATTTATTTTTTAAAAAGTCTAATAAAAAAAAAACCAACCCCAAAGACATTAAATACCATTTTATATATAAAAATGCTTAGTAAAAATATAGTTTTGTTGCCCAATTAAAATATATTGCTGAGAATACAGTAAAAACTGTCCTAAAGCCCACCCCTAACGGGCGCTGACTCTTTGATGGCCCCGGCAAAGTCTTCCTAAAAGCTTCCACACACCCCCCAACAAGTTCTCCTGCCCTGGGGTTAAATACTGAGGGCAGGCTGGTCCTGGCGGTGGTTGTTTCAGGCAGGATTTAGTGGAATTGGCTTAAAAAATGCCCCTTGGAGGCAGTGGGTGGAGGGCTGGAGTGGGGAGCGCGGCGAGCAGGCTAGTGCTGGGAAAGGCGTCTATGTGTTATATAGGTATACGGTATATCGGTGAGTTCAGCACGGGTTTTCTCTAAAAAATACCAAAAAAAAAAAAAAACCCCAAACAAAAAAAACCCAAAAAACAAAACGACAAAAAGAAAGCGATGCATTTAATGAGATACTCTAAATATGATGGAGCTCGTGGTTAAAGGAGGATGGCTTTTGGTTTGTTTTTTTTTTTTTAAAGGAGAGTCGGGGCTCTCCCGGTGCGAGCGTGGGATGGCGAGGCCAACCCCGCTAACCGGTGATGCAGGGGCTATAGTACACAGCGCTGCTGGCATCGGACAGGGCGGATATCAAGCTGCTCTCCTCGCAGGAGATGCTCCTAGGAGTCACTTTGGACAGGGAGACATGGTAAGGCAGTCCCGAGGCTTCGGGACGAGTCCTGCTCATGTTCAAATATTGGTCAAACTCGTTGCGGTCAACGTCCGTCCAGAGCTCGGTTTGGTTCAAGCTGGTGGTGGGCTTCGGGGGTGCGCGAGAGTTGGCCCAGGTGGGCGGAAAGCCCGTTCTGAGTTCCCGAGCACATCTGGTTGTAGTATATGCTGGAAGGATGGGGAGTCCTCATGGCGTCGGCCAAGTGCGATGGGGTCTGCGCGTAGGGCACGGCCACGTCCCGCCCCATGCACTTCTCCTGGGGAAACTCCATCTGGTGATGGTGGTGGTAGCCGCGAAAGGGCATCATGTTGCAGTCATCCTGCATGTGCGGAGGGAAAAACGCTGGCTCCGTTTGTTCCAAGACATCCAAAGGAGACATCTCAGGAGTTGGCAAGCCATAGTTTTCAATATCCGACCCCATGGAGTGGAGTTCTCTGAAGTGGTTAAGTGGGGGAGGCTGGGGGTGGGCCGGCC